GCCCCTCACATTCTCCTCTTTGCTCATGACAAGTTATCCATGCCGTTGCTCCCTTGCTTTTTGTTTCCCATATTCCCCTTCTGACTTCTCTCGTGCTGACTGAATCTACCATACTTCATCTCTCAACCTGAAATCTCTCCAAAAACCCATTTCTTGCAAACTGTACCCACTTAAATACTTGACTATTTTCCTGATATTTTAAATGGCACATTCTCCTCTTTGCTCATGACAAGTTATCCATGCCGTTGCTCCCTTGCTTTTTGTTTCCCATATTCCCCTTCTGACTTCTCTCGTGCTGACTGAATCTACCATACTTCATCTCTCAACCTGAAATCTCTCCAAAAACCCATTTCTTGCAAACTGTACCCACTTAAATACTTGACTATTTTCCTGATATTTTAAATGGCCTTCAAACACTTGCATTAGTCTCTTCCAGATACTTCTTTCTTGTTCTCTTGTTCATCCTTCCCCTTTGCTCTCCCTCCCTGTGGAGACATCTGCTCCTGTTTCTTGTCTTTAATTTAGATCAACTGTATGCACTTTTGGAGCAGGGATGTCGTCTTTACTGGTATAGTAAAGTGCCAAGCACACTTACGATGCTGTATTATTGTTCCAGGGTCTAGCCCTATAAAAACTTATGCACATGTATTTCCACTCCATTCCATGGAATTATTGACATGAGTAAAGTAAACTTAGGACTCCTGTACCCCAAAGGTATGTAGGATAAATGTGCTCTTCTGTGACATATTCCAGTCTAATGTTTTAGGATTTGTTCATGGGTCAATATAGCTGTTTACTAGCTGTTAGTTTAATTGTTAGATTGATAAATATTTGACACAACTATGTTTTAAAACTTCTTTGAGTCCATATCCTGATTGTCTGCAGGAGTGAGGAAATACTCACCAATATTCTACACACAGGCACCATATGTGACTGGAGTTGCGAGGGGGGGTGTTGGCCTTCAGAATGAGCCAACAATTGTAACCAGTATTTTCAAAGCACTGGACTGAATTGGCCAGTACTCAGCTCAGGCAAATTCCTTGCTTCTAAGCATGTCACATTAGTAATGAAAGTAATACTGCATTTGCAAATGGCAGAAAAATTAAGGAGAAACTTAACTATGAATTTTATAACTTGTGTGGGCTGAAGAGAGAACTTCACCATTATACGATGGAAGTGCAACTTCCTGGAATGCATTATTCTCAGTTTTTTGAAGTTCAGAGATTTATACTGAAATGTGAATTTTAATATATTTTTACACAAAGATTCATCTTAGAAAACATTATGGCATTACAGTAGGAGATATGTATATGGGAAATAATTACTGTTTTTTAAATATCTGTAAACTATATTTTAGAAAACGACTAAACTTCATCTTATGCATTAAATTATTTTTGTGATACTATTTTACATGTGTTTTAGTTGTTGTTTTCTCAGTTTTAGGCCTTGGTCTGGTGACCTTGGAGCTGAAAGATGACCATAAAGCTAGAACAGTGCAAAACTTTTGTAACCAAACCTGCCATGATACAAAATGTAAGCTAGGTCAATTTAGGCAAGTGAGCTAGGTTAACAGGATAAATAAGCCAATCACCTGATTCTCTTATTTGTCACATAGCTATTGCCAATGCCACATTGGTGTATACAGTTCAGCCATGTTTCCTTACTTGGTATCAATTCTCTTTTTTAATGTGACCAATTTTTGATGCACTAATATGGAATTTGTGCCTTTAGAACCATGGTCTGTGCCAGAGATGGGCAATATTTTTTGATGGGGGACCACTCAAGATTTCGGTAGGTGTTCAAGACAGTGCAGGCCCCTGGATAGGTAATTGGGTGTGGGGAAGGTTCAATGGCGAACTGCCATCAGTGGGAGCCACGAGGCTCTGTGGCTGTGGAGCCAGTGAGTAAATAAGCTGGAGCTGCCCATTACCAACTTTCTCACAGCCCGCTTAGAGAAACACTGCCCTAGAGGGAATGAACAGAACAGGTAACCACCAAGTGATCCGTCCCCTCTCACACCATGTGTCACTTTCATGGCTGGGAATGGGTGACACCCAAAGCACTATGAAGATCTTCCAGAAGGAATGGGAGTCACGCACAGCTCTGTTGCCTTTTCACGGACACATGCCCATCTGGTGCATTGTTTATGGTGACTGTACCTGCCCGTGAGCCCTATAGGAAAGCAGCAAAATTGCTCATCTTCCTTTGCTCGTTTTCCACATGGGTATGGGGAAGTGAGCCAGAGTGACGTTAGAGTGAGAATTAGTTGCAGTCCTCCCGCTTTCCAGTCCTCCTCTTATCCCAGCCAGCTTTGCCGTACTTGGAGAAAAGAGTAGCTCCCAACAATAGTACAGCGAGGGGGGAGGTGGGCCAGTAAGAGTGAACTGTGGGGGAACTGCAGCAGGATGTGATTATGGAGGGAGGATCTATACAGTAAACCCAGTGGGGCTGACAACCACTGAGGGCCCCTGACAAGGGGTGTGTGTGTGGGGGGGGAGGGCAGCTTGCCTTGGGCAAAAGGGGCAGGTCAGCATGCCTATAATCAGGAGCAGCCCTAGACTAGCTGCCAGCAACTGGTGCCCTAGGCAAACCATGCAATCGACACCCCCACCGCCAAACCCCTCGACGATACTGTGCCACCATTTGGTGCCCCATTGTGCCCCTTTTAACTTGGCGCCCTAGGCGACCGCCTAGTTCGCCTATATGGACGGGCCGCCCCTGCCCATAGTGCTACCTGGAGCACTGTGTGCATCCCCCTCTTCCCTCCCAGCCCTCAGAACCACATGGAGTGCCCGGTGGCAGTTTCAAGGGCCTAGGGCTCTAGCTGCTGTAGTAGCAATGGTGGTGACTAGGAGCCCCGGGGCCCTTGAAATCACCAGGCCCCAGGGCAATTGCCCTTTTGCCTCCTCCCCCTCTCCGTCAGTGGGCCTGAGTAAACCTGAAGGGCTGTGCACAAAAAGGACTGCTTACAGTCAGGCCTCCATTTTAAAATAGATCCCCCAACTGTGCACTTGATTTACACGAGGAAAAGATTTTTTTTAATTGCTCTTTACCTTTTTATTTTAAGTTTAAACCATACAAAACACCCACATGGCAGATGAATGGGGTTTGGTGTTATCCAACGTGAAAATATACAGTGATTTGGTTAGTACATGTTGAAAAGCACTTTGCTCATTTGAATGTCCTGTCCAGATGTTGGAACCCAAGTGAAGGAGGATGAGAAAATTTAGTCCTGATAACTGTTGTCCTCTCTAATGTAGCATGTTTTCTACAGTGTCCGAATTGGTGCTCTGCACTCTACTGGTGTGCAAAGACTCCAGGTGCAGATAAGACTGCCTTGCTTTGTCTGGTTAGTTATATCTGTCCAACACTGGCAGAGTTTCCATGAGCCCGAGCTTCTTTCCAGAGGAGCTGCATGGACATGGGATGGTATTCAAATGAATGAATTGCAAGCAAGGGAGGAGTAAGGCACAGAAATACCAGACGGTATGTTTAGCAATTATGTACATGGGAAGGTCAAAATCAGAAAAAAGTTATTTGGTGTGTTTTTTTCCAGTATATTTGCATTAGGTTCAGAGGCATTCAAATGTCCAGGCAAGGATACAGGGAATTAGTGTCACTGCATTAACCCTTCCAATTTGTGTAATACTTAATTCTCAGTCTCGTTGAAGTTGCAAGAGAAAATGAGTTCAGCTGTCTCCTGTAGTGGACTGTAGACCTTTTCTCTCTTAGGAATGTGTCATATTTGTTGGTCTCTGAAGAATAGCAGAACTGGAACAGTAGGGCTGTAGGGCTTCCTGCTGGCCTGGACTGGTTATCTTCTCCAAACGGCAGACAGAAGTATTAACTCTATCTGTTGGCTGTGCTGTCAGTCTGCTTGTCCTAAGCAGCCCATATCTGCAATAGTCTATGGTGCTACAAGCCAGGAATGCAATGCTAGCAGCGGTCCTATTAGAACTAATGGGACTAATGTGTGTGCATCTGAAAGCAGCATTAGACCTTTTGCAGTCTCCATCTTCCTTTAAGGGAAGGCTGCATGAATAGTTGTAGCATTATTTGCACTTGAATCATTAGCGATGCAATTTTTATTTTTGCATTAGAATGCAGTTTAATTAAGACTTCTCCTGAGATTTATCAGAGGGGTAGCCGTGTTAGTCTGAATCTGCTTATGCTTATGCTCCTACACTTCAGTTAGTCTATAAGGTGCCACAGGACTCCTCGCCACTCCTGAGATTTGAATCACAGGCTGTAAAAACACTGTGCAAACTGTAAAACGCTATGGAAAGAGGACAGACCACTTTGGCAGCTTCTAGTAAGGAAGGTCCTAAACTACTAGACCATGTTGTAATAGGCAAGTGCTGTTGATTATGCATGCTTTCTTACTCTGACTCTCCTGAGAACTATGATATGTATGCTCTGTAAATGCTATGGTCTCTTAACTCCTTTATGGAAAAATGAGTCACTTGAACGGGGGATGGCAGAGCTACCCTAAAGTATAGGTTATATATATTCAACAGATGCCTCTGGATTTATTGTAAGTGTTGATGTGATTGGGCAAATGGTTTGGAAGAAAGCATCCTAGTTATTTTAAGCTATGTAGAGTCATTTAGTGCAGTAAGAGTGCAGTTGTCCTAACTTATTAGAACATAATCATACTCGTTGTCCTGGTGAATGGTTGAAGTCACTTTCTCGGCAGGCATGAAAAAGGCATATTCAGTCTCATGGCTGCTATTTGTTGTGTTGGGTTTTTGCTTCATGTTCTGGTGACTGGTTGAAGTCCCCTTCTTGGCAGGCATGTTGACAAAGGCATATTCGGTCTCATGGCTGCTATTTGTTGTGTTGGGTTTTTGCTTCATGTTGTGGTGACTGGTTGAAGTCCCCTTCTTGGCAGGCATGTTGACAAAGGCATATTCGGTCTCATGGCTGCTATTTGTTGTGTTGGGTTTTTGCTTCATGTTCTGGTGACTGGTTGAAGTCCCCTTCTTGGCAGGCATGTTGACAAAGGCATATTCAGTCTCATGGTTGCTGTTTGTCATGGTGGGTTTTTGCTTAACAGTGTGATTGATGGTGGCATAGCAGATCTCATGGGGATCACTCAAGTCTCTCTTTTCAAGACTATCCTATTAATGAGAAAAGGGAGCAGCATTAAAAATCACGTGTCCTGCACTGACCCTGAAATGCTCTATAGCGAGTGAGACATGCAGGGTAGCACTGTGTCCACATGGCTCACAACAGTATTTACTGTAGCAGCCAAATCTGCAATCACTTCAGTCTTGTGTAGACTGTCATTTACCATGGGTAGGAGCACCCAGTTATTCATGCTTGTTGTCTAATGGGATATAAAACTGCAGACCTGATCTTCTGGGTCATTAAAGTTTCCCACCTTGTTTTTGATGGCAGAAAGAACTACCCCAAGTATCTGGGCCAAAATCTATCTCGGGCATTTTAGTTCTTACTCCAGTAGTTGCTCCTCCAGCTGAAACTGGATGCAGTGTTGTTCTTTTATCCTAAGCAGCGGTGTTACGCTGTTTTAAAGAACTAAACTGTGCCTCAGATATAGTTGCACTTGGAAGCAGGGGAGCAATTTCAGATCTTGACTTTTGCCGAATTATGTATGCCGTGATGAGGGAAGAAGAGAATGAGAGCATGGGGGAGAGGACTGCGGGCAGAGGCTTCAGCAGTGTTACTGAGCATGCTCTGTACAAGCCAAACACCATATGGGGAGGGAGGAATCAACCTCATCTACCCTCCCCCCCCACCACATCATCTCTATCCAGTGGTTACGAAGGCACTAGAAAACTCTACTTTGCTGGCAGACAACTTAGCAGTTAGGCTGACAGGAGCACTGTATTTAATTCCTATATAAAAGAAAGACAATGAAATAAATATTAGACCCCCCGCCCCCTCAGCTCTAACACTAACATATTCTGACATCTTGTGGCAAGTCACTCAAGGGCCACTGATTAACCTTGCAGTTTTAATGTATATTCTGACTTTGTGGAGAGAGACCCTGTCAGGACTCCTGGGCTCTATCTCAGCTCTGAAAGGGGAGTGGGACCTAGGGGGTTACAGCAGGGGACAGATTCATTTCTATATAAGAACATCAGAAAGCCATACTGGATCAGACCAATCGTCCATCTAGCCCAGTATCCTGTCATCTAACAGTGGCTAATGCCAGGTGCTTCAGAAAGAATTAACAGCAGAAGCAATCATCATGATCCATCTCCTATTGCCCATTCCCAACTTCTGGCAAACAGAAGCTATGGGCACCATCCTGGCCAATTCTGGCTAGTAGCCGTTGATGGATCTATACTATTTGAACTTATTTTGTTCTTATTGGAACCTTTTTATGATTTGGGCCTTTCCTCCAAATGTTGATTATGAGAAAATAATTTATTTTGTTTTAAATGTGCTGCCTGTACATTTAATTAGATCAGCTTCCTGTGTTATGTTAGTGAAGGAATAAATAACATTTCCCAATACTGTTTTTCCACACCATTCATGATTTTCAAGACATATAACATATCCCCCAACCTACCCTTTACTCATTTCTTTTCCAAGCTGAAAAGTCCCAGTCTGTTAATCTCTACTTGTAAGGAAGCTGTACCTTACCCCAATTAATTTCTGTTACCCTTTCTGTACCTTTTCCACATCCAATATATATTTTTTTTAAGATAGGGTGACCAGATCTGCATACAGTATTCAAAATGTAGACATACAATGACTCAAGACGACAAAATACTATATTGCCTCTAGTCTATTTCTCTCCTATGATTCCCAATATTCTGTTAGCTGTTTTAGTTTTTAGATTGCCACTGCCCATTGAACAGATGTTTTCAGGGAACTATCCACAATGATTCCAAGATCAACACTAAATTCCATCTGCCCTTGTGTTGCCCGGTCACCTGGGTTTTGTGAAATCATTTGGTAACTCTTTGTAGTCAGCTTTGGATTAGTCATTGATCATCCCTCTTTCAAGAACATTTATAAATTTAACAACAGTGATCCAAATGCAAATCCCTGCAGTAAAACACTCATTCCTACTCTTTATTGTCTCCCCCCCCCCCCATATTTTAAATGGAGTGTCTGGCAACGTTTTCATGATGATCTAACAATCCTTCAATTGCTTGAATGCCCAGCCATTTGTTATCTTAATCATTCTGCCTTCCTCTTTTTATAACAAACTCCCTGCCCCAAAGACAAAGCTGCAAGCATCTCAAACTCTGTTGTTTTTAAAAACTGCTTCCGGAGTTGGGGCATGCAGCTTTAAGCAGACCTCAAGTATAAAATCCAGGAGTTCCAACCTTGGAGGGGGGAGGGGTTACTGCCCCCCCTCCAGCCTCCTATAAATGGTGACCTTGCTTGGAAGACTGTTCAAATGCTGCTTATACACATTCAGGGATAAATTCACAAATGAATGCAGTTTAAATTGGTGCACCTTATACCCCCATCTGTCTTTCTCATAATCAATATGTACATTGGTCTACTTAAGTCTAGAGGCCATCTAGACTAATTTTGTAGACATGCCTATTTACTAAAATCTACCACACTCCTGATTCCTATACACTTCACCTTTGTTTTATTCTCTGAGTACAAAAAAGTCAAAATTAATGTAATTTAAGGCTATTCTGCAGAGGCCTGTGCTATAAAATATTCAAGATAACAAGACTCTAGTTGTATCTGTTACATAAAACGGCTTATAAAATTCAGCAAAAGTCAAGAACAAAGACTGACAGCCCAGTGGTGGTATAAGTTTTCCAGATCGTGGAGTGGGCGTATTAAAAATTACTCAGAAAAGTTTGATGTCTTCAAGTCACCCAGGGCCTAATCAAATGCATCCAAGAGTAGTCAAGGATCTGAACCATTAACTATCATGTCTGAAAGGTCATGGAAGAAGGAAGACGTTCCAGAAGGCTGAAAAGGGCAAATATAGTGCCAATCTATAAAAAGAGAAATGTGGGCAACCAAAGAAACTACTGACCAGTCTCTTAACTTCTGTGCTAGGAAAGATAAATAAATGAGGAATCCATTGGCAAACATGTGAAGATAATAAGGTGATAGGTAACAACCAGCATGGATTTGTAAAGGACAAATCATGTCAAACCAATCTGATAGCTTTCTTTGATAGGACAACAGGTCTTTTGGATAAGAGGGGAAAGCAGTGGACATGGTATACCTAGACTTTAGTAAAACATTTGATATAGTCTCGCCTGACCTTCTTACATATAAACTAGGGAAATACTACCCAGATGGGGTTACTATAAGGTGGGTACATAACTGGTTGGATAGCTACTCCCTGAGAATGGTTATCGGAGTTCACAGTTTTTGTTGGAAGGGTTCTCCAACAAGTCAAAGCGACGAGGAGTCCTGTGGCACCTTATAGACTAACTGAAGTGTAGGAGCATAAGCTTTCGTGGGCAAAGACCCACTTCGTCAGATGCATGTCGCTTTTGCAGATTCAGACTAACACGGCTACCCCTCTGATACTTGCCAACAAGTCAGGCTCTCCAGTTATCAGTTTTGGGATTGGTTCTGTTCAATATTTTCATCAACAATTTAGTTAATGGCAGAGAATACGCTTATTAAATTTGCAGATGATACCAAGCTGCGAGGGTTTGCAAGTGCTTTGGAGGATGGGACTATAATTCAAATTAATCTGAACAAACTGGAGAAAGGGTCTGAGGTAAATGGGATGGAATTCAATAAAGACAAAGTACTCCACTTGGGAAGGAACAATTAATAGCACACATACAAAATGGGAAATGATTACCTAAGAAGGAGTATTGCAGAAAGTGATCTAGGGATCATAGTGGACTGCAAGCTAAATGAGTCAACAGTGTGACACATATTTGTGTGTGTGTATATATATAAAAAAGCAAGTATCATTCAGGAATGTGTTAAAAGGAGTGTTGTGAGCAAGACATGAGAAGTAATTCTTTGCTCTAGTTTGTGCTGATTAGGTCTCAGCCGAAGTACTGGACATACATTTCAGGTAAGATGTAGAGTACTGGAGATGGTCCAGAGAAAAGTAACAAAAATTATTAAAGGTCTAGAAAACATGACATATGAGGGAATATTGAAAACTGAGTCTGATTAGTTTAGCAAAGAGAAGACTGAGAGGACACGTAACAGTTTTCAATGACCTAAATGGTTATTACAAGGAGAAGGGAGAAAAATTATCCTCCTTTATCTTGGAGGATAGGACAAGAAGCAATGGGCTCAAATTGTAGCAAGGGGGGGGGAGGTTAGGTTGGACATTAGGAAAAACTTCCTAACTGCCAGGGTGGTTAATTACTGGAATAAATTGCCTAGGGGTTTGTGACATCTCCATCAGTAGAGATTTTTGAGATCAGATTAAACAAGCACCTGTCAGGGATAGTCTCAATGGTGCTTCGTCTTCTCATGTATGCAGGGGACTGTATTCTATGACCGCTCAAGGTTTCTTCCAGTTCTAGTATTCTTTTGGGCCTAGTTTTGCTTGAATAATAAGAATGAAAGTAAGAGTGAGGACAAAAGCTGCATTTTCTCTTTGCTGTTCCCTTTTCTCCTTTTTCTTTGGTGCATTTGTCGTGTGTGCCTTAAAGGAAGAATCAGATGTCAACAGCAGAAGCTCCTACCCATTTCAATTAACTTCCTCTCCCTCCCCCACAAAAGAGTTATTTATCATCTGAGAGCTGGTCAGAAAAAAGGATATTTTCCTTCTAAGGGCATGTCTACATACCGAAGTTATTTTGGAATAATGGCCGTTATTCTAAATTAACTATGTGAGCGTCTACAGAGCCATTCTGTTATTTTGAAAGAATTTTGAAATAATGGGCAGCTTATTCTGAAATTTTTAAATTTCATTGTATGAAGAATAATGCCTATTCTGAAATAGTGATTTCAAAATAAGGTGTGTGTAGACATTCCACTGGTGCTATTTTGAAATAGCCCCTCTACTGGGCTATTCTAAGTTATTTCCTTCCCGCCCCACCGTACTTCTTGGGGCTCTAAACTGAGGTAGCACGTCTACATTAGGGAAGCCTGCCTCAGACTAATTTTGAGGCGTCCCTGTAGTGTAGATGTGCTATTTCAAAATAAACTGTTTCAGAATAACTATTCAGGAATAGCTTATTCTGAAATAACCGTGCAGAGTAGATTATGCCTAAAAGTCCACTACAGGCAAAGGGAAAGTGAACAAGGGCTATTAATGTGAAAGTTTCATTTAATTTCTCATATTTCAAAGGCTTTAATTGGTTTTTCTATGTCTTACATAAAAGATTAAGGTTTTTAATAGTATGGTGGTCACGGGAATAAACAGGCAGAGATCTCTGTGTTTGGAATCCCAAGCCACATATAAAAGTATTCAGGGCTGGGAACTGAGGAACAATATTAGTTACAAGCAATATTGGAAATCACTGAGCAGCATTAAACATGGACCTCTCTGGTGCCATTTTTAGTCATTCATCTGACTAGCATTGTTCTTAAGTAGATTCTGTTCTATGGATTCTGTAGCCACCCTTTATATTATAGAATGGCAATCTGTTCACCATGCTAACGTCTTCAAGGGTTCATCCTCAGTGTTCTTCATGGACTGATGAACAGAACACAGCCCTTGAAGGCTTTCCTAGGTTTTACACAAGACTGGACACATCAAGGAGCCATCTCTTTGTGTTTGTACAGTACGTACCAGAGAAGGGTCTTGGTCCTCCATGGTGGTTCCTAGTTGAGACTGCAATACAAATAATAGTAGCACAGTGCATATTGGGCTAAGGCTTTTAAAACAATTGTTTTAGGTAGCTGTCTAAGTGGATTGGTCATGCTCAATAAAGAGGATTCCAAAGACAAGTACTTGGGGAAGAGTGCATTAATGAGAGGGTAGCTGGAATCTGGGAAACAATAAAATGGGCATTGTCAGGCCATGTGAATAGTGGAAAAAAACCAGCATTCCTCCTGCTGTGACTCTGAAAAGAGAATATGCTGATCTCATAGTATCCATGAGTCATTCTCACTGAAATCAACAGGTCCCCCCCCATACGTTTTCCTCTTCATCCTCAGCCCTGTGAGCTGAATATCATCACTGACTAGTTCTGCTCTATAAAATGTACAGAAATATGAGATGGACCAGTTTACATGCTTCAATGCAGCAGCTTTCTCTGCATTTGCAGGGCCTTACCTACTGAAGGGTATATCTTCAACGCATCATTCCCCATGACATGAATCTCTAAAGCCCTCTTAGATTTGGTCTGATGACTTCCCTTTTCTCCCTCCTTGGGCATTAAGAAAGGCCTACCAAGGATGCAGCCAGCCACTCAAAGATTCCCACCTTACTCTGATACCAGAATGTTTAATCAAAAGCTTTTCAAAGCCTTGTGTGAAAACAGTGGAAAAGTTTCATTACCTTAGCAGCAGCTGAGGAGCTTCTGTGGGTTTGCTCTGGAGAGGGAGAAGTGAAACATTTGAATTTCAAGCCTTTGGCAAAGGGGCATCCTGCAGGCCGGAAAGACAAAAGCGTGAGAGACTGGATATCAAAGTGACAAGGAGAACTCTGTTCTATACCAGGGCTCGTGCAGATACAGAGCTTGCTTCGTCAACACAATCCTTGGAAAAGTACCAACCAGTGTGAAACTGAGCAGGTATGAAGAAGAGAAACTTTTCACAGATGGCTGAATAAAACCCACACGTATAATCTGGCTTTTTCTGAGCTTAGTGTGCACTGCAGACTTTTCTCACTCCATTCTAAAATCCGGCTTTACTAATGGCCTTTGATGCTCTTCCTTTTGTTTGACTAGACTGGTTCAGAGACTGCCCCCTGACAGAGATGGGGATCCTCTGTCCTTTCCTAGCTCAGTGGCTCTCTGTAGTTGACATTGCATAATCTTGTCATCCTCAGTGCTTGTTCCTTTTGATTATGTAGGGTTATCAGGCCTATGTTTCTGTAGTGAATATGGATCTAAGCATGGTGCTGACTGGGATGTTCTACATGGCAGTGAGCATGTCAGCTTTTCTTTACAGTGATTTGGTGGACTGTGCAGAGTTGATCTTGTTGAATGTTTCTGTTCCAATTGTTAATGTATATAAATGGGGAACTGTCAACATTGTCCTTCTCAGCTGATTTAACACTTCAGTTCATAGTTTGTTTCTTATTGTTAGGGTTGCTAGAACTATTTGCTCTTTCTATAAACTTACACCACCAAACTTTCACTTTCAAGTGCCTAAAAGGCACATCAAGCCCAATGTAAATCTACATTAAGGCACTGGAAACAGTTATTTACGCTTTAGCATATATCTCTGAGTGGCTTGTTAAATCCTTTGCAGAATGGGATAATGTTTTATTTCTGATGTCCTAATAGTCACTCTAGTGTCTGAATGTGGATTTCTTCTCCTTTGAAATTGGTTTTGTAGTGTTTTAGCAATTGTAGGCTAATATTTTGCACATCAGCATAACTTTCAAACAAATGATCTCAAACTCTTCAGTAATATTACTGAGCACTAAATTGAGATTTCCACTGCACAGAACTAAGAGGAGACATAAATTCTGCCCTTAGTAATTAGTCTAAAGTAGTAAATATTCCAGTGCATTTGCAGTGGGGAAATATCATGCCTCTTTAAAATAAAAGGTAATTGATTTCAGTAAGTCGTGTAACCTTACCATGTGTCAGAGGAAGAAACCCAGATCATCTGACCAATGTTCAAGCCACTAGATAATTCTTCCCCTTTCTACATTTCAATCTGTAAATTCTACTCAGAGACCTGATAGCTGATGAATCCTCAATTGATTTTGATTCTTAGACCAATGTGTTGATCATGAGAACTTTGCCCAAATTTAAAATTCAGGTAATCCGTACCAAAGCTTTCTTTTAAATTATTATTTTTATTTGCTTCTTTAACCATGTAGTCCTTTTCAGGATCTGAAACTTAGCTTAGTTTCCCTTAAAAGTTAACCCACCCTAAATAAAAAGTTTTTAAAACAACATGAGTCATTGGTTCATCAATACTGTGAATTTTGGCCTGTTTAGGGTTTTATTATAAACAATGTGTACCATTCTAAACCGTGATCACATGCTGACATGCATATGCTCAGGCATGTACTTAAAATTACAAAACACTCCTCCGTATTAAGGATGTGAAAGTGGATCGGTGTAAATGGTTAACTAATGAGCCTGGATTCATCAGTGAACCTTCACAGTTCCACACAGTTCTGCCCCCCATGCAGTTGGAAGCTGGGGGAGCAGACAGGAGATGGTGCTGCGGGGGAGCCAGCTTTTAAGCAGCAGCTACAGAGGCAGTAGGGCAATGCAGGCAGGAGCCTGTATCCATAGTGGGGAGGGCTCCCATGGACCTGCCTGCCTCTGGCAGCAGTGTGTGGGTGGGAGTAGGGGAGAGCAGGCAGCTTTGCAGGAGCTGGTGGTCATATGAAGCCAGCTTAAACGCCAGCACCCTGCGAGCCCCAGCTCCTGCCTGTCCCGTCCCCTCCCCCATGTTGCTGCTTCTGATACAGAAATGGGGGCAGGGGAGGCAATGCAGCTCCACTGGAGCCGGTATGCACTTAAAAGCCTGCTCCTCACGTGCACTGGCTCCTGCAGAGCCGCCTCTCCACTCATGTAAACCTGTAACCACTGAAAAATTCAGCAGTGACACGTTTATAAAGAAAACATGACCTTTAACATCCCAACTCCATATTACAGTAATATTAATAGCACTAGTACTTGTGCGTTAAGTGCCTGAACTCTTTTCCAGAAGCTCCTGCCCTCTGTTAAGTGGGCATGGACAAATAGTTGCACAAGAACTCTGATGCTGTCATGACCTAACCCAGTGAAGACCCTCCCTTTCTTGATACTTAGTGATCTGGAATCCTTCCTTGTTTATCTGGTCTTTGAGGCCTTAAAATAACGCAAAAGGTGGAATGTGGCATCCGTAAGTTCCCTGACAGAGAATTCACATAAACATAATGCTCCTTTCCTGCAGTGGTATTTCAAGGATAGAGTATAACTGTTAGTGTAAGTGGTCTGAATCCACCATTGCTGTATTGGTAGATACTCTTGGTGTATCAATTTGTCAGTGAACAGGAACAAAGAAGTTTAATGTACATTCCATGGGCATAACAAACCAAGGCTAATTGAAAAATCAAGGTGACTGGGGAGGGCTTATAATAGAGCCAGGACTCTTCCAGCTTTTTCTAATCCTCTGTTTGTACTACTTGCCTGGGCCTTGGAAATAACACCCATTTTGCAAACCTTTCCAATGTCAAATAAATTCATGTTAAGTTATTTTATATCTCTCGCTACTAGGAGGAAAGCATAACTTGTAGTTGAACTGTGGGCCAGGCAGTTGACTGTTTTAGACTGTGGGACTATTCAACATTTCAGGTATTCCTAGTCGAGTCCAAATTCTATAGCAAAAATCGCCATGAAAACAGTCCTGGATATTCTGGATATTGTAACTATTTCTTTAGTGTGAGTCTGGTGATTGGTCTATGCGCTATGGCAAAGGGGGAATATATTCCCCATTTGTATTGAATGTTTGTTTCTTCCTTCATGGACCTTTAGCCTGATGGGGACAGGAAATGCTTGAGAGGTTTCCTCAAAGTAAAGCGCTTAATTATGAGAATTCTGGGATACCATTTTGACAAAGGTGCTGTACTGAAAATGGCCGTTTCAGTGCCATTAAGAACACTGGGGCCATAGGCACGTTTTGCTTACCTTCCCTGCTTACCTTCCATCTCCTCTTCCTCCTCAGGTAGGCACACGATTCTTGGCTAGGAAACAGAAATAAAAGGTGGCATGTTATGGCAGCGATGAGAGAGGTGGTTAAAGTTTGGCTAGATTGTTGATCGTTTCTGTGAGAATTGAGTCTTGCTTAAAAAAATGAAATTTTCCACTGGCTACCTGTCTGGAAGGTAATAAATAATTTCACTATATCACAGAAAGGGACCAAAGTTTTTTGTTTTGTTTGTTTGTTTGTTTTTTGAAGGATGCTAAGGGAGAATGTCAGGGCACTCTGCCCTCTTCCCCACTCTGAGGAAATAAGAGGGGAGGCCCTGGTTTTGGGTGAGAAGTGAGACTGGAGAATTTTGTCATGGAAATAGATTCCCTTTTTTTAATCCAGTTCTAGCTGATGGTCCCACAGCATTTACTTTCTACAGCCAGATGGACACCACCTGCAGAGATGAGCTGCTCTCTTCTCCCCCAAACCAGGTTGAAATGGGCCATCTCCCTTAGCTTCTTCTCTCTCTTGCACTTTTTTCCTCTGACCGTTGCTTGGTGAGCCTACCTCTCGCTGCAAGGACCTGTTGGGAAGAGAGTAGAGAAGGCACAAGCTCCTTGTCTATAGGTGAGCCTAAGAAAGGGAGGAAACAGGAGCATTAATCCTGGGTCCCAGAGTGGTGGTGGTTGATGACCAGAACAGTAGAAGCTGAAAGCCAGTCATGCCTGTCTATAGTGGTGAGTGGGGAGAGGAAAAAACTAGGAGATGGCAGATTCCAACAACCTGTGGGCTTATCCCCAACCTGGCAGCAACTCTGCTAGAGTCTGAACTCCACAGAGATTTACACAAGGACATACAGCTCTGGGCCCCTGAAGGCAATCTGCCTCAGCATGGCTGGGTACATTCTGGGTAGTAAGAAATAGACCTAGAATGTCAGTGGCGGCAGCAGGCCTTTAAATGGAGGATGAGGGAAAAACTCATAAGGTGCTCTGAGGGCTGAAGGTGGCCTTGAAATGGGAGATGGCTGGAAGACACAAATCAATAACAGTCCAATCCTAGTGGGTGTAAAGGGAAGCATAGCATCACTTTTAATATAATTCTCAAGCAGTGTATAAATCCAAGTGCTAATTAGTGTTAGACCTAATGAATAGCGTTACAAGAGCCATGTGCAGTTTTAGGCACCTACATATCTTTAAAATCTTCCCCAAAGCGGTTTTAAATTTGCTATTAAGAAGCTGCTTGTAAGACTACAGTTCTGTCCTACAAGCCTCCCAGATACTGTTACTGATGCAGGAAGTGGCCAAGTCAAAAATAGAAATGCGCAGCTTAAAAATCGTCTTGATGAGGACAAAAGGCCAAATATGGGGAAGTGGGGGAGAATGAAAAGCCGAAAATAGGGTAAAGCAACACAATAGTGGAGAGTAGACTGGGCCAGTGGACTAATAACAGGATGTGAGATCTTTCAGCAGCTGAAAGATTAGCAGGTTACCAGTTCCCTTCCAGCCTTTGTTGGCACCAAAGAAACTATTACTCTGGTAACTTTACTATGTTATCAGTTAACTGAGTTTTCAGTGTTTTCAGTGAAACAAGTTCCAGATCTCATTGCAATTCTTAGTCAATGCCCTTCTTGAAATTCATTGCTACACTTGGTGCTGATTGGCATCCACTTCCATCAGCACAACAGCGATGACCAGAACTGAAGGGATGTTAATGAATGCCCCTTTTATTCCTAAATGAGGCTTCCTTTTATCAGGGTGGTAGTACATTGATGGTGGGGATTTAGCCTGTAGATGCATCGTACAGACCTAGTGAATGTCATTTTTTAGAAGTCTTTGGCCATGGTTTGTCAGCTGCTCTTCTGGTTGATCATGATTAAAAGTTCAAAGATGGTGGAGTTCATTCTGGAGTTTCTCACATTACTCTTTTTCCCTTTCTTTGAGATCAAGTTTCCCAAAGTATTGTATTCTCTTTCGAAAACGAAACAGACAACTCCCCAGACTCCTGCCATAAAAATTTGCTGCTGATGAGTGGGTGTTGGGATAGGAAACCAAGGTATGTCCACACAGCAACTAGACACCTGTGTTAGCCATGCAGCCCAAGTCTAAGTCAGCTATCTCATTGTTGCATTGACTTCTGGGCTAGAGCTGGAGCGCAGACAGTAGGACCCTGAAAATCTACATAGCAACAAAGACTGTCTCAGCGCTCGACTCCACATGCCTCAGTTGGCTAGTTTACACCTGTAAACATGCACGAACACTAATCCTTGTAGTTTCTAAGATTATTCTCTAGCCCAAATAGCAGCTATTTGTTTTCTCAGCTGAGAAGCCCTAATTCCACAGGTTGAACCTCTCTAGTCCAGCACCCACAGGACCTGACTGGTGCCTAATCAGAGAATTTTCCAGACCACAGGAAGCCAATATTATCTAGCAGCATTACCAACACTTCCATTGCTTACTGCACTCTTAGAAGACATTTAGGAGTAAATTTGAGTTAAATAACATCTCAATAGAACACTGTGAGCCAGGACTGGTGGCTGTCAAACTTTATGGGACCATGAGAAATTTGGCCATACTCATGATAAGTGGACATCTGGCTAATTAAAATCATACCAGACCACAGGTGTTGCTGGACCAGAAAGTGACTGACTTGTGACTTCAATCCCTTTCAATGCCCATGAAACCAATGAAGACAGGCAGCCTCCTGCCAAGTATGCTGAATTTCAATTTTAATTTCAGCAAAGCTCTAGATCTTTGCCACAATAATCTTAACTCAAACATTGTGTAACCTAGGATAAGACCTAATCATTGTTGCGAGTTGATACCTCTAGTCTTTGGGGTGGTGAGGAAAAATGTATGATGAATCAACTAGATGTGGATATGTGAGCATGCCAGAGGTTATATCGGCAAGAATGATCAGAATCAGGCTCCTACCTGCCATGTAAAAGCAATCTGGCCAGCCTTGACAGTCAATCTGAATCCGGTCAGGTGTTTATAACAGCTGGTTTAGATTGTGCTATGGAACCATTAAATACAATGTGACATAGACCCCAGAGAGCACATACCTCTAAAGCCCATCCAGCACTTGTTCATCAGAGACAGAGACTGGTATGGGGCGGGAAGCAGGCATGAGCTGAGATGCAGGGCAGCATTTGGAGTGTAACCACTTCTCAGCTGGATCCTTGTTCTCCCACCTTCTGTGGGATTGACTTAAATAGATGATTTCGTTGGCTGGATCAGGAGACAGTGCAAAAATGTCTGCAATGGCATTAGAGTTGCCGCCATTTTTCTGATTTAATGCTACAGCTTGTACCTACCGGAACCAGGACTCTTTAGTGTAGCAACATCCCTAGTCCAGCAGAACCACTGATGTTCCTGAACCAGAGAGACCAGAGACAGAGAGGTCTTCTGGCATGTCCAGGAGCCCAGTAGGGGGGCAGGCAACACAGGTGGGAGTCCCGTAGTGGGGAGGGCTTGTGGCATGGTGGGAAATGCTGGGAACCCCACAGCCAAGAGCCCCGCAGCACATCCAGAAACCCTATGGGGCCAGCAGAGGCTGGGGAGCTCCAGCCCCAGTGAACCGCAGCACCAGGGAGCTGCCAGTTGCTAACCGGGGAGTGGTGGCCCTCAGGAGCCCTGGCTGGTAGCCACAGCCAGTGAGTTTTGGCCCCACGAGTCCCAGCTGGCATTGGAGCCCTAGCCAGCTATGCTAGTGGTGAGTCCAGCAAGTCTCAGCCCCAGGAAGCTCCACCAGCAGGGAGGGGTGGCAGGCTGGGAGCCTAGCAGCAGGGGACCTCCCATGTCCTGGAAAATGCCCTCTATTGGGACCAGTCATGTCCTGAGGGTGCTGGACCAGGGAGGTCCAACCTGTTCTTGAAAGCATGTGTGTAAAATGTTTGAGTGCCCAAGTCACATTTTCCCAAATGATTTAGGCAGTTATGCACCTGGGCAATCATTGTATGTCAATAGGGTTCAGTATTTAAGAACCTAAGACATTTTTTAAAATGGAACTTAGGGTGTCTTAAAAATGTATCCTCTTTTTAATGCTGTAGTAAAACTATCACTTCTTACAGTCCTCTCATTACTCAGAGTTGTAGCCAAGTGCTTTTGCCCGTTTAGCTTTTCTAAAGCTTACACTGTTCTCAAGGTGGATTGTTTTTCTTTTTTGTTTGTTTGTTTTTATCTACTATGTGCATGGCCAAAAACCAAGCCAGCCACCCCCCCTCCTCGCCCCGCTGTTTCTATCCCCTTGAGCTGAAGTAGGCCTCACAGTGAAAACCATATATCTGCCCACCACATCTTGCCTTTTTGGTAGCACCTGGCACCTGTGGCGTATGAAAACAAGGAACAAGAAGCAGGGTGGCTTCTGCAGAAGAATGGTTAGAAAGATAATCACCACTGTAGCAAATAGAAATGGCTTTGTGGATGTTCACGTATGAGAACATTTAAAATATTGGCCTATTGCAGCCTGTTGCCCTGAAGAATGGCTAAGATGAGTGAATACAAACTGTAGACAGTGCATCACAATGCCAGATGCAAAATGGCAAAATGCAGTTGATTGTGAACTACAATGGAAGTTCAGGTATTCCTAAACTTCCCCAATCCAGTGTAGCTGGCAGACTACAATTCTCACAGGGCAAACCTCTTTGTTATGTGAAAAAAATAATTACTTTCCTAAAAGAAGATTGCTCTGTCTCCAAAAGCTATAAACCAGTGCATCTGGATGTGACCGAATGCCTGCCTCTGTTCACACACCATTATGATAATCTCTTCTTCAAATATGTCTTGTCCGGTTCATTTAAAAACTAATAACTCTCTGGTCAAACCCATGTAGCCCAAATTCAGCAGGGCTAGCCAAGAACATCTTAAACTAGAGGGAGATAAACTATGGCCGGCAGGTCACATCCAGCCTGTTGGACTCGTTCAGACTGGTCCCTGAGCTCCCACCAGGGAGCAGAGTCAGGCCAGCCTTGCCGAAAGGAGCTGACCCAACTCCTGATAATTGCAGCAAGCAGGAGAGGCTAGCCCCCAACTCCACTTCTTCCCCCCTCTCACTCACAGGCTCAACTTCCCCCAATGCCCAGGCAATGTGGTCGCCATGTTGCCAGCCATGATGGTCTAGGAGGCACAGTCAGGGGACAGGGAGCAAATGGGGTTTCCAGGGCACAATAGGGGGTGGGGACCAGAGGGGTTGCATAGGAGGCAGGAGGCAGGCCATACCTGGCTTTTTGGGGTATGTCTACACTACCCTCCTAGTTCGAACTAGGAGGGTAATGTAGGCATACCGCAATTGCAAATGAAGCCCGGGATTTGAATTTCCTGGGCTTCATTTGCATAAGCGGGGCGCCGCCATTTTTAAATCCCCGCTCGTTCGAACCCCGTGCCGCGCAGCTACACGCGGCACGAACTAGGTAGTTCGAACTAGGAAGCCTAGTTCGAACTACCGTTACTCCTCGTGGAACCTTGGGGTTTGAACGAGCGGGGATTTAAAAATGGTGGCGCCCCGTTTATGCAACTGAAGCCCGGGAAATTCAAATCCCGGGCTTCATTTGCAATTGCGGTATGCCTACATTACCCCGCTAGTTCAAACTAGCGGGGTAGTGTAGACATACCCTTGGGGAGGCATAACCTTCTCCAGCCTTCCATACCATTTCTGTATCCAACGTGTTCCTCAGGCCAAAAAGTTTGCCTACATGTGTCTTAAACCGAGGAATGTGTGTACACCTCTATCTACTGTATATCTGAGAATGTCTGTCTGTCTAAGAACTCCTTCTAAATGCTAAGAGCTAGGACCGCCAAATTCGGCCTACAGCTTCCTCTTCTCATAACATAAAGCAAGGTCAGGGTCTGGTTGTGGCAAGACAACGGGTTGTGCTTAGAATTGCTTCTCATTAAACCATACAGAAAAGAGATAATCACTTGGCAGGTGAAAGGGGTTGGTTGGGGATGGCACCCCCTCATCTGGGACTGCACCAACCCCAGGCCTCACCCCCCCCAAGAATCCTTTAGGAAGGACAGGAGGGGCTGAAGCTCTCCTCCCCAATTCATGTGGGAAAACTGTTGGCTGTTCCCCTTCATCAGGGAATGAGGGGAAAGGGCATGGTTTGCTGAATTCCTTGCTTTGTCTGGGGCGCTGCAGCAACCATGCAAAGGCGCTTCTCACCTGGCCTCAAGCTGCTGCAGTAAGAAAGAGGTGAGGTAGTCCTCTCTCCCTGGGGCAACCTGCATGCTGAATCCCTCATCCCCGGACCCACCCCAAAACAACGATTTAAATGAAGCGTGTACATTTTCCAAAAAAACAAAAATTGACTTAAGGACCTGAGCAACACTGGCTAAATATTCTAGATTACATATAAATGGTAAACAAGATCCTTGAAACAGCAAGAGGGTGATAAGGTAAAACTGCACTTTGGCAAAACAGCATGACATTTATTTCATGAGGAGACCCCCATGCCTCCATCCTCACAGAGGGAAAAAACTTTATCAAAGGAATAACCCACAGGAAAACGCATTTCAAAGGGCAACAGAACTATGAAAGTGAGACACAAATCCCTCCTATATTGTGCCTCCCTGTCCCTCTCTTTTTTCCACTTACAAAGACAAGATCTAGACTATGGATTTTGGGTGCAGACCTTGCCCTGAAACTCCCTCAACTTTGTTGCTCGGAACCACTCTAGGTTGAACCGTGAACCAAGTCTAGGTTGAAGTTTACAATGTCTTTTATTTTTTTCTCCTGTAACCATTTCTGACTTTAATGCTTTAATACTTGAATTCATTTAAAATTTATTCTCTTTATAGTTAAATGAACTTGCGTTAGTCGTTAATTGAAACTAATCCATGTTGCCTTTACATTCAGCAATGTGCATAGCAAACTGTTATATTGAGCCCCTTACAGGGGAAGTGGACTTAATGTATCTGAACTGTTTGCAAAACAGCCACACAGTGCTGAACACACACCCCAGTGGAAAAATCAGACTGGAAGTGTGTTGGGATCGCCCTGCATGTAGTAACCAAGGCTACTGGATTCCAGAGTATGGCTGCATTTGCTGATAGGCTGCAGGGGTCAGAGTTGCTAGACCAGAGCGGGTGGCTGTACACGGGCACTTCAGGTATGATCTGTGTGCTATTTGATTGTTTGAGTGGCCCAGATGGGAGGTACTGCAGCAAAGCCTTGTGAGGAACCCAAGGTTTCAGGACAAGGGAGATACATCCCCTTTCTGGTCTGAACTCCAGAATATCATAGGGCGACTATTTCTCCTTGAATGTAATGAAATCTGTCTGTCAATAGCACTGAGGTGACCAGCTCTGTGAGAGTTTTCCTCATGGTTCCATAGCTATAGATAGACTATGGCACCATGGCATATTGGGATGTGATAAACTCTAAAATATCCCATGACTCTTTCTGCCTGAGCTAGAACAGGGACATCCAGGACCCCCTTTCACCCCTTTGTGACATCAGCTGAGAGTTATGGTTCAGAACTAGCATCTAGCCTTTTGCAAATTGGTAACTCTCTCCTCCCAGGCAGAACTGCACCTAAAACTTGTTGGCGCTAGATGTACACCTCCTAGGCAAGCCCTATGAAAAACTAGGTGACTTCAAATAGAGGACTCCTCTGACTTGGTACACTCAAAGGACCCCAAGAATCATAAACAGTCAGTGCGCTGTCTTTTGTTCAGTTTGCAGTGCTCACATTATTGTGCAAGAGACTGCCTTTAAAGAATATATGCTAGGGACAGGAGACAGAACTGTGAGACTTGAGATCTGGGTTGTCACAGATGTTTTTTTTTTTTTTTTTTTTAAAGGCCAGGAGGGATCTCTTTTCCTGGTTCTGCTACTGACCTTCTGTGTGACTCCAGGCCAGTCACATTTTCCTTGACTTTAAAATGGGGGTGATACATATCATGTCAGTGAAGTGCTTTGAGAGCTATGGGAAAAGAGCTTTATATAAGAGCTAAATATTATAAAAACATGGATTCCTGTCTTAAAAGATATTGAGTATAATTTTACTTCTTGTTTAGCAGATCAGTTCAGTTAACCAACAGATTTCTGTTGGCCCCTTAAAGTGATCACATAAAGCAGGTTCTGATGTGGGTGCAATTTGTCCCCATTTAATTCTTATGGTTCACAAAACACCTAACAGCATCAGCAAGTCTTTGAATATGAATGGATATTGAACCTACCTCATTTTTGGTAGGCAGTTTCCCATCCTTTCAAAGAATTTCAGCAGCTTTGGAGAGCAGGTAGTTTCTTCTTTTCGTTCCTGTTTTAGTTGTATTTTCTATCAGGAGTTTTGTAAATCAAAACCTAACAAGCAGGCGAAATCAACATCTTGACACCCTCTGTACACTGCAGCCAACTGCAGCATACCAAATCTCTACAGCACTTCTCTCTTGACAAGTGAGGGTGTGGCCAGGAAGTTAAAAGGTGGAATGGCGGATATAACTTCCTGAGATGCTGGAGTGAGAGAGAAGCCAGTTTTTGCTCATGGCCTCTATTCTCAAATGAGGAGAAGCTGAGTTATTACTGGGATGTTAGACTAAAACACCACTGCTGGATTTTCTCATCAAACAGAAACCACAGTTTCTGGTTACCCAGCTTTTCTGAGAAATAGAGAGACAATAATTAGTTTAAAATAACCAAACAACAGCAGCAAACAAAACAAAACGAAAAACAAAAAAAATCCAGCACCAATAGTGAATCTCTGATATATTTCATTTTTGCTTCCTTTTCATGGTTTCACTAGGACAACAGCACAAAAACTCTGCTTGCTTAGAATTTTTTTGCTCAGAGCCACTGGAGTTACAAGAAAGAATGAGACCTCTGTAGAATGAAGGAATCAGAAACAAAATCTGTCAGAGGTGAGCATTCAGGAACCCAGTGCTGCTTAAGTCATCTTATCAGAGAGATGTTGATGAGGGAAGGGAATGCTGATAAGACACCAGTGGTGCTACAATAGGTATGAAGCACAGCAGTAAGGTCCCCTGAAATGCAGGTCTAACTAGCAGAGAGTAGTTAACCAGAGAACTGACTCTTTCTTAAAAGATAATTTTGCAGAACATGCTGCAGGGTGCACACTTGTGGCTTTATGGGTAGACATGTAGCGCTGCGAGAGATGTGGCAGTTAAGCAACTTCTCTCTTCATTTTTATCTTGCTAACTGTATGATAATGCCTGTTAATTAAGCCTGTAAATTGTAGCCTACTTTGAGGCTGTGTCTAGACTACAAAGTTCTATGGGAAAAAGAATCGCAAATTGCGAATTGCAATTTGTGTATCTTTTTCCGCTTTTCTTCCAAAAGAGTCTTTTCTGACAATCAACATGTCTACACTGGGCCAATTTCCAGGAAAAAAGCATCTTTTGGAACATCCCATCTTCCTCATAGAATGAGGTTTACAGGGATGCTGAAAAAACACATCTGCTTTTCCAAAAAATTTTCAGAAAAGCAGACACATTCCTTGGAGACAACAGAGCTTTTCCTGGATACCCTGACAGAAGGTTGTCCCAGTGCATGCCCCCTGGTAGCATGACATGTTTCCACAGGCCCCCAGCCTTCCCCTGCCTCTGGATCCTTGCAATAATTTGCTCACTGGCCTGAACAGTTAGTACAGTTTCCCACAGTGAGATCTTCTTTAGGAAGCCTTTCCGAAATACAGACACTTTGGTCTGCTTGACCTGGTCATGTGTAGGTCTCCAAATCCCAGCCTGTGACATTACAATTGCTGTACAACACTGCTTGCACATGCTTTGTCTACTGGCATTACAACATAACATCAAGGGTCTTCATTTGGCTACAGTATTCTTCACTTCTCCCTGTCCTATGATGTTGTATGAGGTTGAATTAAACGGAGGTCATGTTTCACTCTAGGAATGGATGAAATTCTGTGATGAATGAAGCGAAAGCCCTCCCCCTCCCTTTTTTAAGTTCAAATTACTGACCGCTCCTTGAAACAAAGCCCTGAAATCCCAGTTGAGTTACATAACTCTCTACTTCATTAAACATGTTTATGCTGTGCGGGTCCAATAGTTGAATCTATAACATTTTAATGTGTCTATTTGTTCAGAGAACAACATGGGATTTTTCCTGACTGTACTGTGATAGGGTGCGGTCAGAGAAGTCACGTTGGGATTGTTCCCCAGTGTGCTGATCGTGCCACTGAGGCCCACTTTCTTCCTCGCTGAGGCTCCTCACCATCTTGTCCTGCTGGGCCAGATCCTCTAGTCTCCCCCAGACAAAGCACAGAGTTGGGGTTATCACTCACCTGCAGAGCAATGCAGACACTGAAACACCTCAGCTCTGGGTGGACACAATTCTAGAACTCAGCACCCAGGAAACCCAAATGAATTTAACCCTCTTCCTCCCCAGATAAATCAGTCTTTTTCTATGTGAAAGTTTTACGCAGGGAAAGCTTATCAGGTAAGCTCCCTTTTTCAGGGAAAGAAAAAGATGCACAGTGGTTGCTCCCCCTCAGGTAACAGTAATTTACACTGAGCCTAACAGTAAACAAACGTTTTTATTAAGTAGGATTTAAGTGGTTGCAAGTGAAAAGAGACATATCAAAGTCAGTTACTAAATTAAAATGAAAAGAAACTGAATTGCTCATTCTAATTCACTACGAAATGTTATTGCAAGCAGATTCTTACCTTGAAGAGCTGTTCTTATTTTTGTCATAATCTTCAAGTCAGAGACAGTCTTCTACTCTGACTTGGGTCTCCAACCCTCTTTAAAGTTCTTTATATCCTTTTAGGGCAGTGTTTCTCAAAGTGGTCTGTGGACTCACTACCGGGCTGCTGTCAAGCTGCTCTGGTTTGTTTACTTACCAGCTCCACAGCCATGGAGTCTCAAAGCTCCCATTGACTGTGGTTTGCCGTTTGCAGTGAAGGGAAGCTGTGGGAAGCAGACTCAGCACCAAGCAGTAGGTTTACATGGTCTCTCCAGACCACACACCTTTTAGACTTACAGGACCAACAAGGCTGTTTATAAATCATTAAGTTAATCCCCCAGTCATTGGGCTTCCTGAGCACCATTAATGGTTCTCATAATCACATTTAAAACTATAAACAGATTTACACTTTACATTTCTTCAAATATAAGAATGATACATGCACTAAAATAGGATATACAGATCCAGCAGATTGTGACATTAAAATTGATGGGTTACATGACATTTTGTCCAAATCATTTCCTAGTTATGCGTATCTATACTCAATATATTTATTTTTTATAAAGCATGGAGGGAGAACTATCACAGTATTTGTTCTGCAACATTTTTCAGCAATTTAATTCGTGGCCTAGGTGGTTCAGATGTGAGAGTTCACATGAATCCCACAGCATTGTTACTATTCCATAATTCGGAGAGAATAACATGGATGTTTTTTCTGTTGAATTACTTTGAACTGGAGAGAGGATCTAGGTTATTATAAAAAGTGTTGGGATGTTTAATCGAATATTAACGTAAGGATAGCGATAAGAGTCAATATATAGTTTCTCTCACAGTGGCGCTTGTCAAACTCTTACAGCTTTTCCTTTGCCTAGTTATTACCACAGTATCCCTTGTATTAGGGAATATAGGATTATTTGTACCAGTACAAGGAATACAGAGTTGTCATTAAAAGAAACAAACAAAAAACCCCAATCCAGCTTTACCATTACGTTGAAGGGTTATTTTTATTTTTCCATAAAAGTTTATTTACTTTGGGTGAATAATATGTTGTGAGGTACCGAAGAAGGAAACCATGTTTGGATTGTTATTACTATTCCAACCCACTGGGCTCCAGGGCTTGAGCTTCCTGCAAATAGCCATTCAAACTCTTCAGTGGTGACTTTGGTGGTAGGTCTTCAACACATAATAAAATGCACTGTTCCTGTGTCTGTCACTAGGTGGTGCAGTTCAACTGGAGAAGTTTGAACTAAGTAGCAACTATCACAAACCTTGGGTATCTGTCAAGTCCTGCATTGTAATTACACTAGAAGACTTACATGGAGGCGTTCTGGTAGGGGACTGCGGGTGTGGGAAATGCAGGAGTCAGGGCAGGGTCTGGGTGGGGGCGGGGGGGTGAGGGCAGGAGGCAAGAGGCATGGGAGGGTATAGAAGTCAAAGCTGGGGGTGAGGAGGGTCTCAGGGCAGGGGGTGGGGGTGGTGACTAGCTTCTCCCTGGGGGCAACCCAGGGCAGTAGAAGCTGCCCACTGGCTTGTCCCTGCAGGCTAGCAAGGCCTCTCTCCAGTAGCCTCCCTAGGAATTGAAATTAGGGGGGCTGTTCAAATTTACAGGGTGTGTGTGTCAGGGTCGATAAGGGGTGAGACCGTGAGGGTGAAGGTGGGCTGTATGGCACCATAGTTCACAAAACTGGGGGGGGAGGGGGTTGGGGAAATTCAGGGGGGGGT